TGGCGTGAATTCATGGTCCGGGTCAGTTTTAGAGTTTGGGGAAAAGGGGCTGTATACACGAGTTGACAGGGATTTAGACAAAAGTGCTGATTATGGAGAATTCATGGATAAGAAAAAACCTGTACCTGATGGGTGTGGGTGGAAGATGGTAAGGAGAGCCACGTGGTGGGATGTAGTCATCATAACACACAAAAGTAAGGATAGTGGGAGAGAAAGGTTGGATGATGCTGTGTGGGTTGGAGAACGATTATATTTTGATCAAAGTGGGAAAATTATAAGAGAGTTTGGTATGAAAATTCTGCAGAAAGTGGATTCCCATGAGGTGATGAAATTTGGTGCAAATTCACCGGGAACACAAATGTTGGACGAGTTAAAACAGAGGTTGCAGTCAGCACAACAGAAGAGGAAGACTGGGGCTGATAAAGAGAGAAGATATGTGGTATTTGAAGTGAGAGAAGGGGTGGAGTCCGAAGATGAAGCTGGTGGTGCAACCAAAAGAGATCAAGGATTTTAGCTTGAGGACAAGTTAAAGCTGAAGGGGGGAATATTGATAAGTACTACAGAAGGATTAGGGGCAAAGGTATGCAGCTAGTGTGGTGGTTGTTTGTGTGTGTAGATAGCATATAGGTGTTGACATTTGTTTGGCTGTTTTGTTAGTTGTTTCCTTAGGGTTGGTAGTAGTTAGAGGATTCTGTTAGGGAGGGGATTGTATAAAGAAAGGAGGAGGGGGAAAGGGAGGGGGGATTTTCTGGTTGAGAATTGGGGGGAAGAGAATAGGAGCCTCTCTCTAATCAAAGCTATCCAAGGTGTACCTCGTTACAAAGCAACTGTGCAAAAAAAAAGGAAAAAGAACAAAACCTGTTCGTACCACGCAGTTCAAAGGCCCAAAGCCAATTTAAGGTATTTGATCTTCTTGAACCATCTGGGTATCCAAACTCATCCAATGGATTCATCTGTTATAATTTGATATCGAGTAACAAACTACAAATATTCGATAAAATAATCGAATGTATCCAAATATGATAATTGTAACAAAAAATTCAGTAAACTAATGTGTCCAGAAACCAAAACAATTCAGATATCGGACTCATACCCGAAGACAAAAGGGTAAATATTATAAGTTGACAAGATATTCATTTGCTCTTGTACGCAGGTACCTGTGGATAGGATATCCGTCAGCCAATTTTCTAATACATACAAAAAACCGTTGAACGATAATTAAAAAAAAAACAAACTCATCCCGTACCAAAGAAAAGTCAGACACCCAAAAAGGATATTGGCGGGACAGATCCCGATTTTCGGGGTCTTAGACACTAGTTTATCAACACAACTTGTGAAGCCCAATGAATGTATCTGAGGAGATGGAGATAAGCAGCGGCAGAGAAGCGTGCCATTCAGCTTTGAACACTCTTTTCTTGTGAGCGTTTATAGAGTGAGACGGGTTTGGAGCGTTGTAACGGATATCAAAAATGTGTATTACAGGGTCTGCAGAACCGGATGAGATGTATAAACCGTCCGGAGACCAAGACTGGTTGATGAGTGCAGATTGTGATTCACTGCTTTGTTGCTTCCACCCGAACGAAAATAGTTCTGTATTCGGCAATCTAATGTCGTATAACCGCATCTGCCGATCTAGTTGCCTGCACAAAATGGTAAAACGATAGCATGATCAAAAAGGAAAGAAACCAGTTCCATTCTTTTCTTAAAACCCGAGACCTGCGGGTTCACGGGTACCCATGGGGATACGGGTGCATGAGAAAATCAAGGCGAGGAACCCGTCGCACGTTCGATTCGGGTTTTTCCTTTGCATGACGGAGACATGCACAATGACATTTATACCTTGGAATTTTAGGGTAGTTACAATAATATCTAGATCTATTTTGGTGCAACATTACAATTATACCCCTATGGTCAACTTGCACCAACAAAAATTTACACTTTTACGTGGATTTGGATACCTGTGCGGATTCCCAACCATCAACCATGGGTACCCTAACCGTGAGAAGCCGAGAATGAGATACTTCGGACACGAAACATGGGTATTGGGTACAACCCGTGTCTAGGCTTAGTTAACACAATGACATCCGAGCTGTTTGCTAGGTATTATTACAGATCAAATAGGAAGCTAAAACAAGAGAAAGGAACAACTTTTCTTACCTGGTATGAACCATGACGAGATTGAAGTCACGAGGGTTCGGCAGTACATTCGTGCATTTGCTATCTACCTTGTGTTTGAATCTTAACTTTTCTTCCTGGACATCATAACCCACAAATCTCCTATCTTCTCCACATGACACAACAAGATTGTTATGCCGCATTCCAGCAACTCCCATTACAGATGATGTGTGGACATCCCTGTGCAGAAGTGTTGACTTCCACACATTCTCTCGTCTTTCGTTCCATAGCACGACTGCATGGTCACTTCCACCCGTGATGAAACGAGGATCATTCCATGGTGTGAACATGATTCTGTTGATAAGACCCTTGGTATGAGGTTTGTCCTCCATAAAAGCTGATTTGCAACTCTGTAGGTGCATAGACATAACCAGAGTTACCATTGTCTCCATGAATAATGCATAACCCATGTTCCGAAAAGACAAGAGGATCAAAGTTCTAATATAGTTTCAAATTATTCCCAACTAAATGGCAATCTTTTCTCCAGCACCCAGACAATCTAGCTAGCATACCATAACGAGACTAAAGAAAAGGTAACTTCACCTTAGCTTTTACCTTGTTAGCTTCGTTCAGATGTAGCACTGATATCTGAGGGTGACCATCGTCAGAAGTATACACAGAGAAAAGGGCAGTCTCGTGTGGGTGCCAAGCTATATCTTCAGCCCATTTCTTCTGATCAGGCCCTATAGAGTTAACTGTCTTTAAAAGACATGCTGTAGACCTGCCCATTGAGGAAGCATGGATGAATTAGATTTAATTCCCTAATGCAATTTACAGGAATTAAAAGCACATTGATTAAATACACACATGCATTATTCAAGTCAAGAGCCTCACAAGAATGAGTGACTGGCATTCTTATCCCCCTAAATCCACGAGCACGACATGAAATCTCTAACATGTTTGCTGACAGGTGGTGCAGGTTGCCGATGCATATCAGTAAAACTTACCTACGATGACCTATCTGTCACTTGGATGCACGAAAGAAACAGTGTACACTATGACCGCTAAAGAGTACCTTCGAGACAAGCTACGCTTCCACAATTTACATCTTTGCACAGGCAAAGATTTCTCAACGGGAAATATTATAATCAGGAGATCAAGCATATTAAGCAGACTTACCCATCAGATCGAAGTTGCCAAAAGTTAACTGCTCCATCCAATGCACTGAACGTTACACAAAACAGAGACAAGAAGCAGATGAAGACATTAATTAAGCACAGGTATAAGTTAATAAACTACATTATCCAATTTAGTATGTCAATGTCTTTTCCAAATCTGAGTGGTTAAGTACCTAGTCGCGAACAACTTGTGATTTGATGGAGAGAGTGAAAGGCTTCTCAGTCTTTTCGAGTGGCAACTTGGAAGCATACTTTCTGTACGACTTTGAATTGTAGACGGCAAAGAGCTCCTACCTATAAGCGTGATCAACTCATCATGGCCTTGGAATTCTGAAAACAAAAAAGTAAGAAAAAAAGGTAGGATTAGACACAACGGGAAGCAAAGATATAGTTCCATTAGTTATTTTGTGACAGTAATACCAGATTGCTGTTGAAGTACTTGTCTGGAAATATTGGAAGAAGCACTCATTCTTGGCTTTGCAAAAGTTTTTCCAGTATGGCTATCACGACCTTGAGTTTCTATACTGCAAGACCTTTTTGCTTCTGGGGTCACGTTATCTTTTTGGCAACTGCCTCTGTCATCATCTTTTACCACAAATTCATTACCAGGAGCAGGTTGACCTTTGGTCACATTCTCCTCTGGTCGTTCCGGAACAGAAAGTTTACGTTTGAGAGGCGGTGGTAGCATAATAAATGGTTTTTTGGATGTTTCACTACGCAGACGAGAGCTAGAAGTCTCATGCATAGTTCTCACCCCAATATCCTTAGTCCAAAACTCTTTAATGCCAAGTAAACTTCCAGTTTCACTAGACACCTTGGACTTTGATAAAGAACCGCTTTCTGATTCTGAAGATGTTGATCCAGCAGAAGAAGTTTTGGCTGAATCAGAGGAAGACTTGTTCAGAGGAGCAATATCGTTATCACTTTGAAGGCGATCAAGGCATAGAAATTTGGATTCTGCATCTCTCATCAACTTTTCCTCATCAGAAAGCTGCATACATCACCCAATAATAAACAAAACAAGATCAATATTTATAAGGTAAACAATAATGTACAAGGTTCACGGAAGACACCCTTGAGAGTAACAAAAGCTCGAAACTTCTGAATCCATGGCGAATTCAACTACAAAGCCCACTCTTTTGGAAGAACTCGAACGCCAATCAAAACAACAAATCACATGAAAACATTGGTGCGAAATCTAACAAATTCTAGTCCCCATACAAAACATTTAGAAGTTTGCTTGTTCCTGCAAAGAAGTAGAACCACATCGAACAAAAATATAAACTGAATCAGTCACAATGAACAACGGCAAAGAATCAATCAAACCCTCGAGAATATGAAATCCCAAATGTCCACCAACCAATCTATGGAAAACACAGTATACAATTAGCTCTGCAGAATCCAAATTTTCTAACAGGAAATGGACTCACTACCGATTTAACTACCCAAAAACACCAAAATCAAAACTTCATAAATACAATTTGGAATGGAAGTGAAAACCCAGATGAAACAACAAGGGAATGGGAGAGACCTTTCTCTCGTACACTGTAATATGATCTTTGAGTCGTTGGATTTTCTTTGCGCGCTCGTCCATGAAGGCCAAAAGAGCTTCTCTATCATCTGGAATCCTCGCGAAACCCATTTCAGCATCGACTTCTTCCACTTCTTCGATCTTTGGCATCATCATCGTCGCCGCCATTGCTGTCTTCTTCCTAATATGGACAACAAAAGTGAAGCAAAGCACAGGCATAGAGGCAAGTTAGAGTGAGAGAGACCGATGGTGCCAGAGATCGGCAAAACCCTAAACCACAAATCAGATAAACCCAGAGAAACGGTGAGACCCAATCGAGCCAATGATGCGAGGGACAGAGGCAGACCGAAACCTGTGGCGAGGCATCAACGAGGCGACGATGGCTCTGCGAGGTCCAGTGCGAGGCAAGAAACGAGGTGCGAGTGGTGGAAGGAGAGGCAACGAGGGGGAACCGACAGCGACGAAGCAGTGGATGTAGTTACCGACGGTAGAGAGAGAGTATCGTACATCGACTCCGGGGCTAGGGAAGACGTTTGTGAAACTGGTGGGAATAGGTAAAAAGTAGGGTCGAGAAGGTATTCGGCGGACTCGAGACCGCCTTTTAAAAAAAGGTCAAATTGCCAAAAGAAATTATCGAATTTAAACCTATATTATTTTATGGGTTAAAAAAGGACATATACAATTAATATTCTCATATTTTAAAACTTTTTACCAAAAACCTTCACCGTCAAATCATGATCGCATCGATAAACGCAAATTCTACGGAGAAAGTCTCTCCACATTACCGCTGCATACTAATAAATAAATAAATGCAAATATATATATATAAACATTCTTATATACATATACATATATATATATATATACTTACATGTAACACATACATGCATATATACATATTATAGTGGATCCAAAAAACTTATAACTGGGGAGATGTAAAATTTCGTAGAGAATTATTTAAAATTTTATAAAATTTATAAAAAAAAATTAAAATTTTTTTAGTTAGACAAGTGAGGTTCTGTGAATCCATTCCTTTGTAAATGGGTCCATACAAATACACATACATATACATATATAATATGTATGTATATATATAATATATGTGTATATATATTTACGTATATATATACCCACTTATGTAGGTAGGTAGGTATGTTTATTCAATGGCGCCGTTATAAAAATAAAATAACCATTTTGATTCGGTTTAATTTGATTATTAATCTGATAATGTAGTTAATTCTTCAAATTATTGATTTGGTTGGCTTGAGTTTTTAACCTAAATTACTGCTATCTCTCTTCTTCACGGCACTAACTCGCAACCTCTTCCCCCCTCCCCCCTTTTTTTTATTTTTTATTTTTTGCTAATTCCCCGCGTAAACTTGATTCAACAGAAAGTTCAAGAATTTTCATAAATTTTATTCAAAATGAAATATCAGGAGTTTTTACAAGATTTTCCGGGGAAGAGAGATCGATGTTGGTAAGGTGAATCGTCTTTCTTGCTTCATCCCGAGCGTTTATCAGTTTAATCTCCAAGGTCCCGTTGGCCAGTTGTAATAGAGTCGTCTTTTCCCAATACCCCTGGATTGACGAATGTCAGCGGAAGACATGAATTCTCTCTCCTGTTTTTTAGTAGTCGGAATTCAGACAGACGCCATAGGTGATTTTTTTTTTAAAAATAAAAGGACGCATGATGTTTCTTTCCTCTTATTGATTGAAGAACGAAAATGGTTAAGGCTGTAGAGTTTGTCAGAGTTTACGTTCATCCCTCTTGTTCTGACCATTTGGTACGTGTTTGTCTATATTTTTTCTTTGTCGCTTTTGCATTTTGGCCGAGAGATTTTTCGACTGAGTATTTAAATCTTTTTCTGGGTTCTGCATGTCATTTAGTTATGAGTTCTTTTATCGATTGAGTGATTTAGCAATGTGGCTTCTCGTATATACGTATGGATGAGTAGAAAACCAATCTTGCTGGCTTCTAAATCTCTCTCTCTCTCCCTATATATATACCCACGTGAAACAAACGTGCAGGTGTTGCCTCTGGAATTTGTCAACATGTTGGAGAAGCCTCTGCCGCATGAAGCAACTCTGCATGACCAAACCGGAAGGTCATGGATTGTTACCATCACTACGGGGGACGAGAGAACGGTGTCGGGCCTTTGCATGAAAGATGGTTGGCGTGACTTCGCCGGCCATCACGCTTTGGCGTACGGCGATTTCCTTCTCTTCGGTTACGATGGCGAATCCGACTTCTCCGTGAGTGTGTTTGCCAGCGACGGATTCAAAAAGCACTCAGGCATCCCCACAGACTGTTTTAGCCACCCGGTTAAGGAGGAACCAGATGTAGAACCGGAAAATGTACCAGACACATCTAAACCAGACCTGGGAGGAAGAAACAGTTTCGGCACTCCGGTCATAGGTACGAGTCAGGCACAAACGGGTGAAATGACTCCGGTTCCTGTGATTAAATGTGAAGAGTTTGAACTTGGAGAAGCCGATTACATCCTGCTGAAACCCGAGACCTGCGGGTTCACGGGTACCCATGGGGATACGGGTGCATGAGAAAATCAAGGCGAGGAACCCGTCGCACGTTCGATTCGGGTTTTTCCTTTGCATGACGGAGACATGCACAATGACATTTATACCTTGGAATTTTAGGGTAGTTACAATAATATCTAGATCTATTTTGGTGCAACATTACAATTATACCCCTATGGTCAACTTGCACCAACAAAAATTTACACTTTTACGTGGATTTGGATACCTGTGCGGATTCCCAACCATCAACCATGGGTACCCTAACCGTGAGAAGAGCTCTTCTAAAGAAAAACTCGTACCATCCTCTTTTTCTAGAGAGAGCTATTAGCTTCACCTCTACTTGTTGTTTTATAGGGTATAAGCAAGGCTTTTCTGAAAGCCCATGGAATACAGCTCGAGCCAAAAATCGAGCTTTGCGATCAAGAAGGGGAGAAATGGCCGGTGAAGGTTTATTCTGCGGGCAGGCACACTTCGTTCACCAGCGGGTGGTCGGAGTTCCGGAAAAGCCACAAGCTGGGGACGAGTAACTCGTGCTTATTCGAATTTGTTCTTGGAGTTGGAAATAAATGCAAGGCAGTTCACGTTCAGATCTCTGGTGGGCGTTCTAGATCTCATGTGAAGTGCTCCGATGCATAGTTGTCGACTCTCCTGTTTAGAACAAGCCTCTCTATATATCCATTACTATGTTGCCGGATCTTATTTGTGAGACCACCTACTGTTGAACTTTGATATGTTTTTATTTTGATCCACTCTTGTTCCTATATCATATTAATGATTTTATTTCCTGACATTCCATATCTTATATATATGGAGGAAAAATTAAACGCGTCACGAAAAAATACCTATACTTTGTAAATATTGACAATTAAATCCTTCTAACTAAATGACAGATAAAATCGTAGTTCTAACCCCCGACGGAAAAATGACGTGGCATATATTTCGCCCACCACAGCAGCCACATAGGATTAAGCAGCCACATAGGATTAAGACAAACACATTAAAAATCCTAAAGTCCATAGAAGCCCTAATCCCTCTCTCATTCTTGTCTCTCTCATTCGATTCTCTCTCATTTTTCTGTTGGCTTTTGTTTCTCGTATCTCCCTTTACACATTTCTCTCTTTGGTCTGTAACTTCGATTTTTTAAGAACGACGGTATTGGTTGTAATTTTTCCAACAGATTTCCAACGGGCATCCGTTGGAATAATTCCAATGCGTTTCTAACGGATTTCCAACGGATGTCTAACGGATTTGTTTGTTGGAAATTTCCAACGGCATCTCAACGGATATCTGAGTTGGAAATTTTCCACGCATATTTCAACGGACAGCCGTTGGAAATAACGTTCGACAATTTCCAACGGCATGCCGTTGGAATTATCCGAACATTATGAAACGCGGTAAGTATTCCAACGGATATCCGTTGGAAATATTCGAACGTTATAACGTTCCAAATATTCCAATGGATATTCGTTGGAAAGTTTAACGGTAACGTTATTTTCAACGGATTTTCAACGGACATTCGTTGGAATATTTGTCTATTTAAACCATCCGGCCATTTTTCGCCCAAAACACTCTCTAAGTCATTCTTCTACTATTCTTTCACCAAAAATTCTCCTAAAAAAGGCTTCTTCAACAAATCCGAATATTCGTTCGTCCCGATAGTGGATATACGAAAGAGTTGATTCGATTACGAAAAAGGTAACGCAAGAATTCATTAATGGTTTAGAACAATTTATGAATTTTGCTTCTATGCAGCCGTTGTGGCAAGAACGTGGAAAAATGTTATGTCCATGTACAAGTTGTCGCAATTTTAAATATCGCAGTCCAGAAGATGTTTGTAAACATCTATTTCGAAGGGGATTTATGGAAGATTATTATATTTGGCGATTTCATGGAGAAGAAGTTCGGACAATCACAACGGGACAACATGTCTCGGCGCCCGAGCAGAGGTATGATGTAGATGAAGATGTAAGAAATCCTTATGTTGAAATGGTGACAGATGCTTTCCCTGGGGCATTGGCTGAGCACAACTCATCACAAGATCAGGAGGAGCCAAACGTCGAAACAAAACGGTTTTTCGACATGTTGGATATGTGAGCAAAACTCATCACAAGATCAGGAGGAGCCAAACGTCGAAACAAAACGATTTTTCGACATGTTGGATATGACAAATCATCTTATCTATGAAGGATGTAAAGAAGGTCAGTCACGTTTATCTCTTGCATCAAGATTGATGAGTATGAAAACGGATCACAATGTCACCGAAAGTTGCATGGTTTCATTTTGTCAAACGTTGCGTGAATATTTACCTGAAAATAACGAAGCTCCAGAATCGTATTATGATACGAAGGCTATGTTGAAGAATTTGGGAATGCCTTATGAAAAGATTGATGTTTGCAAAAATGGTTGCATGTTGTACTGGGGTGAAGAAAAAGAATTGGTTAAGTGTAAATCATGTGGGACTAACAGATACCGTCCGAGTAAGAATGTACGGAGACAAACTCCATATAAAAAGATGTTCTATATATTTGCTAACAACATGTTTTTTAAGACTTTTTGACGAGGATATTTTGACAACATCTCCTAATCTAAGTGGGTAAGAACTTGAAGGAATGAAGGAACAACATTATGCATCTTGGCTTCGAGACTACGTAAGTATTCTATATATATATATGCATGCATATGTGTTAATTTTTGTATTACTCATCGAAAATAAGTATGTGAATATCGAAAATAAAATAATGAACTAACTAAAGGAAATCAGATAGATAAACCACCGTAGCTTCGGGACATCCTTAACGCGCAGGGATTGTTTCTAATGATGGATAATCTACGAATATCGAACTCTAATCGGGGATCAAGTTCTAATATCAGATTTGGCTCTCTCAAGTCCTAAATCCACTATCTAATAATTTAACCTATCGATCTCTCAACCTAATAGATTAAAATATCAAATGCATTATCGATCACTATCACAGTTCCTAAACCGATTAACCTATCTTTCAATAGTCTTAATCAATTCATTCAATGAATTCATTCCGAATCTAATCTCAACTCTCGTTGCAAATCAGAATCTAAAATCAATCAATCAACTGGCCAAGAAGATCAAAAGCAATAAACTCAATTCAATTAAACCGCCCAGTATCGATAACGTAGTCTCAGAAAATAAAACCAAACAAATCCCTACAAGGTTAAATCCCTAGCTACAGTGAAACGACTACTCACTACCCATAACAACAAACGAGTTCAAATCAATAAGAAGAAACATAGAAACAGATAAAGAAGACTCGCAACGATCTCTCGACGACGATTCTTCAATCTCTACTTCCGGGAAACTCTGTCTTGATTCTCTCTCGAGTTCTCTGGCTTTTCCTGTGATCTCTCGATGATTTCTGAAGCCCAAGACGTCCTCTATTTATTTCTTTGGCGGCTAGGCTTCTTTTCCTTCTAAAAATGGAAGTTCGGATGCAAAAATAGGAAGTTTTCTCGAAACGTAACACGGCCGTGTTGAGGTAGAACACGGTCCGTGACAATTGTCTGATCAAAACTTATGCGCTTCTGCACGGGCTAGACACGGGTGAGTTGCGACTCGATACTACCGTATTTGACGTCGACACGGTCCGTGTCAATTGTCTGAAAGAATATCTTCGTTTCCTTGCCTTTGCACGGCCGTGTTTAAACTCGACATGGCCGTGTTCAAGTGCAACTCGAGCTGGAAATGCCTTAATCGTTCTATTCTCGTCCAATATGCTCCGAAGTCCTCGATTATGCTCCTCTGACGTCCATAGTGCGTCCATTATCTGTTCAATCACCAGAGAATGCAGAAGAAACAAAACCCAGTGCTAAAATGATCCTAAATGTCTAATAATGCACAAAACCGATGCGAAAATGCTACACAATGGGCTTTGAAATAGATGAAAAAATCGTGTTATCAAACTCCCCAGACTTATACTTTTGCTCGTCTCGAGCAAATATACGACGGAAAAACGCATGAGGGGAAAACAAGTAGGTGATCAATCAGAAATCTCCATGAGTTTCAAAAGTGAAATTTCTCTCCTGTATCGACTAACCTTGAATGAAATCAAGCTTATCCTACTCAGATCTCCATTCCAACAAAATGATCATAGAGCTACACGA